CTATAAAAATGAGTTTAAGAAACCCCACGGGGCAGTTCCATCACCTGGTGTCACGATGATGGCACTCAATGACAACACTGATAACACGCTACAACATGGATGAACACTGCAAACATCACACTGAGTGGAAGAAACTAGACAAAAAGGCCACACCGCACAGGACTACACTGCTGTGAATGTCCACAACAGGCAAATGCGTACAGACAGTGGGCTAGTGGTCATCGGCTTGGGGATGAGGAAGTGACTATGAATGGTGGTGGTGGTGGTGGTGGGGGGGAGTGCCTTTTTTAAATGATGGGAATGTTCTGGAACTAGAAAGCAGTGACGCTGCACAACACTGCGTGTGCCGAGAACCAAGAGTTTCACACCTTGAAGAGAGAACTGCATGGTACGTGCATTTTTCCATTTTTGAAAAAAAAAAGCACAGAACAGGCGGCGCTGTGGGAAGCTAGGAGGGCGCGGGCAGCTTTCCAGCCAGCAGCGCCTGCCTGGGGACAGCCCCTTTCCACAGGGACTTTCTGGAACAGCCGGAGCCTTCCAAACAGGAAGTTAAATGGTGGCCGTGCCAAGGACATGGGAGTCACCTCCCTCCAAGTGGATTAATAAGTGATCACACCTCATGGCCCAAATAGCACTTCCTGGCATGCGCCACTGCTGGTACCAGTGACACTGCACGGTGTGCAGGATGGCAGAATTCCAGGGTCACCGCCCTGCCCTGGCCACCTCCCCTCCACTGGGGAGACAGGACCCATCCCCAACACCCCAGGACTGAGCAAACACCATTTCCAATCACAGTGGCTACAAGGAGGATCCCGAAGGGGCACGTGACCCATACTGCGCCAGAGTTCTCCCTGGGATCACCACTAGGCTATGGGCAGAGAGGGGCTCTCCCTGTCCCTTCTGAGGGGCACCAAGTGTGGTTCTGCAGCCCACAGAGGAGACGTGGGTGCAAGTGGGAGAGGGGACGACCAGACAAGGAGGGCGAGAGGTAGAGCTCCTGGGTCCCCATCCATCTTCCTGGGCCCAAGGGCTGACATGCTGCCTCCTCTGCTGGTCGGGTGGGCAACCTAGTCTCCTGGAACTTCAAGGCAGGGTTGAGCTGACCATGTGGCCCCTTTATGTCCAGTCCAAACGTCCTCTGAGTGCCACTGTCATCTGGGTGCAGACAGGCCCAGGTAAGCAGGATGAGTGATATGTGCTCGGGGCAATGGTGAGAGGCCCCAGAGGTGAAACGAGGAGGCCGAATGACACCCAAGCACCCAAGGGTGCACAGCGTCATCCTGACAGATCCGATGGCTCAGGCCTGGGAGGCTCAACTGCTCTGTGTGCTCTTGTCTGCAGTTACTCCCTACCCGTCGGGTTGGATCCTCAGTATCCCCACGTACAATGAGGATCCTCCTATCTCCTAACAACATGGCACAAAGGCCACAGCTGATTAGACAAAGACCTACCAATCAATTGATATCTGATGTATGTTAGCCAATCCAAATTCCCCTCCTGGAATTGTGGATTGGGAGAAAGAGAGCCTGTTTCTGCTTGTGGCGGGGAACTAGGACAGGAAGTTGCAGAGGTGAGAGAGGATGAAGGGCCTCGTGGAGGGGTCAGACAACAGAAGCCTAGGCCTCTAGAAGGTTCCAACTCTGACTTGCAGCTGCTCTGAGGTGTGGCTGCAAGCAGTCCAGGTGAACTTTCTGTCCCTGGGTGCTGTCAGACGCCCCAGCATCCTCATTGTAGGGCTCCCTTGGTGACTCCAAGCTAGTTTCAGAGGATTCTTGTTCAGCAGCATGAGGGTGGAGTAGTGGCCTCCCCCAAAGGAAAGATAGCCACATCTGTCCTCATCTCCAGACCTGTGAAAGTCACCTAGCATGGCAAAAAGGGGTCTTCAGATGAAATGTCAAGGACCCTAGATGGCCTGGGTGGGCCCTAAACAGTCACAAGTGACCTCATGTGAGGGAGCAGAAGATGAGGGAGTGAGGCAGTCACAAGCCCAGGCACCCTGCAGTCACCAAGCGCTGGAAGAGGCAAGAGCAGGGGGTCCTTTCCTGGAGCTTCCGGAGGGAACATGGCCCTGCTGACACACCGTTGTCAGATGCCCTCACGTCAGTTCCAACTCACAGTGACCCGATACACAAGAGAACAAAACCCTGCCCGGTCCTGGGCCATCCTCACAATCCTTGCTGACTGACCCACTGTTACAGCCACTGTGTCAACCCATTTTGTTGAGGGGCTTCCTCTTTCTCACTGACCCTTTTCCTTTGCCAAGCATGATGTCCTTCTCCAGCGACTGGTCCCTTCTGACAATGTGGCCAAAGTATGTATTTCTTCCATGACACATTGGTTTGTTCTTCTGACAGTCCAGGGTACCTTCAATATTCTTCAAGTACACTGTAACTGAAAAGCATTGGTTCTTGAGTCTTCACTATGCACTGTCCAGCACAGGGTGGAGTCGGCTGGTCCTTAGTCCTCACAATGACTTACGCCAGGGCCCATAAGAGGAGACCTTTCTGTGAGTGTGCCTTGTCACAGCAGCTGCACGGAACCCACACATACACTCAGAACCGGAACATGAGCACACGGTCCAAGATGGGACACGTCAGGAGGCGGCACTGGGGCAGCCCTCTGGAGAGCCGACCGGCCGGCCTCATCCCAGGAGACATGCAGTTCGACAGGTCAGCTCTCTGTTGGGGAGAAACTTGAAACATTTCCAACCCTAGTTTTTTCTAGGCTGGAGTTGGCCAACTTTTCTCGTAAAGGTCCAGAGAGGGATAATTTCTGTCTGAGGCCACACGGCCTCTGTTGTAACTCATGATGTCTCGAAAGCACTGCGGAACAGGTATGGCTACATGCCAATAAAATCTCGCTTACAAAATCCGACGGCCAGTGTTGGCAGACCTGGGTTTCCAACTGTTTCTGTGTGTGGCCAGACCATTACCTTGTCTCCACAGAAATCTGTCCACGGGGAGCAATAACGTCACCTACGGGACAGGGATGGGAAGGCCAGCTGCCATCACTGCAGGCTAGCCTCTCAGGGCAAACTAGATCCTCAAGAAATAGTGTTCATTCGTTCATTCAAGTATTTGCTGAGGGCCTGACCATGGGCCAAGATGCCCTAATGCGACACTCGACTAGCAAACGGTTCAGTGCTCGACTACAAATCAAAAGGGTGATATCTGAACCTTCCCAGAGGTGCTGCGAAAGAAAGGCCTGGCAACTTACATTCCAAAAGTCAGCTGTGGATTTAGCTGCATTAGTAAATCAGTCCACCTTGAGAGTTGTGCTCTCATGACCTCTGTCTCTAGGGGGTCAGATTGGCAGGGGTAGGTCAGACAGAAGGTCAGATAGGAAGCTTAGGGGCCGGTGAGCTTATGCTTATGGGGGAGGGAAAACTCGGAAACAGGGGGGCAAGAATGAGTCATATATGGGGAAACTGCTGAAGGGGTGTGTACTCAATGCACGTACAGCATCCTCAGCAACACCAAATGAAAAGCCACCGGAAACCCTCGGGCGCAGAGCTCTACTCTGACCCACAAGGGGTCTCCGTGAGGCAGAGTTATTAACTCAATGGCAGCTGGGGTACTTGGGCTCTGTTGTGGGTGTGAGGACAGGCAGACCAACCTGAATTAATCCTAGAGCTGCCCTTCCCCTGGGCCTGGGGTTCTAAGTCAGGGCTACTCTACCCCGTGGGTGGCACTGGGTGATATCTGGAAACACCTGTGGATGCCACAATGCAAGGTGCTGCTGGTGTCAAATGGGTGAAGGCCACAGATGCTGCTCACCACGCTACCATACACAGGAGGGCCTACTCCAGAGAAGGATGCGGCCCAAGACATCAAGTGTGCAGAAGGGGAGGGGCCTGGTCTGATGACAACCACCAGACGCAATGCTACTTTCACATGAGACGAGAGGAACTAGATGGTGCCCAGTGACCTTGAATGTTCTGATCAGAGATACCATAAAACGATCCTGATCGAAAGGAAGGAAATGGAGAACAGAATTTCAAATTCACACAGACTCTGGACTTTCCGGAATCATGGAAGCTTGATGAACCCCGAAACTACAGCCCTGATATCGTCTTTATACCTTAAACCGAAGTATCTCCTGAAGTCTTCTCAAAAGCAAACAATACTATCACTTACGGAGTCAACAAGGTTGTCTGCCTTGAGCACAGTGCTCTGTACAATCTCCCCCTCTGGGGACTCAAACTGACAAGTCACTAGAAAGGTCAGACAGGAAGCTCAGGGGCAATGAGTTTACGGTCACCAGGGAGGAACCACTCAAAAAGCGACAGCGAGGATGGTTGCACTCCAAGAACATCATCCGTGTCACTGAATTGGACATGGAGGTGTGTGTTCTGCTGACTCCTAGAAGGAACTGCTCAGTCCTGCTTTGTGAGACCTTCCAGCAAAGTGGGCCAACAGCCATGCACCGTGCAGACACGGCTTGCCCACCTCCCTCAACCTTCAGCCGTCCCTGGTCTGGCTGCAGAGGCTACCCAAGAGCCTCAGGCCTGACCTGTGCCCAAAGGGGAACACAATTCCCTGAGAAGGTGTCGCAAGCTGTGTTCCTGAGGCTGCCTGGCCACTCACTTGAGGAGGAGGGAAGGATTAGCCACAAGCGTGCTTACCCAGGCATCTAGAGCAGGGACGACAGCATGTGGCAAGCCACCCCTTATTGTCAGCCACGATTACGCAAGTAAAGTGCCTTTGCTTGAGCCTCAGAATCCTGCTTAACATAGCACCTGGAGCAAGCAAACGACTGGATTCCTGCAATGCAGCTCTGAGCCCAGGCCTATCTTCCTCCACCTGGATGAGGGTTCTAACACTATCTTAAAGGCTTGTACCCCAAACCATGGTGCTACAGAAAGGAGTGCTCGCCACACCCCTGACAGTCACATGGACCCTCCCTCCTCCCCTTTCAGCTTCCCAAGTGGGTAGGGACTCCTGGGACCTACTTAGGGGAACGCAAGGCCTTGGTCCCAGTCCCAGGGGTGCCTGGCTTACCCAGGTAATACAGGCGGTGCGAGTGGGGGCCCGCCTCATCCGTCTTCTGCACAAACTGGAAGTCGTGGGGTGCCTTGTTGACGATGAGGCCTGAGTACTTGCGGCTGCCGTGGATGATGCCCCGAAGTCCTTCCCATGAGTGCTTCTGCACCTGGAAACGGGCTCCTGGCTCCTCCATCCCCACTGCATCAGCCCGCTCCAATGACGGTGACTCCGCCACCGCGGCCATCCTGGCCGCCCCCTCAGAACTCAGCGAGAAGCTGTGAGGAAAAGTGGGAGATGTTGAGAAGCGAAAGGTGTGTCCCCATCAGCCATCGCCCAGTGCTTCACAATGGTTCTAGGATCTCTCTGCTTCTCCCAAACACCATGCCTAAAGGCCAAGCCACTGTCGCTTAAATGGTTTTAACCACTCCATAACCAGTCTCCCTAAATCCCTTGCAAATTTGGTCCCAGGACACAAAATCTCACCTGGTTCCCCAGAGCTAAAGTCCAAATCCCCAGATGTCCCTGGTAAGCTCTTCCCCCTCCTCATGATGCCCCCGGGCCTGTGCACACACTGCCCCTCCCACTGGCAACTCTCTTTCTCTCTTTTTCCTTGACTGACTTTTAATATGGTCTCAGGCCAAACACCAGGTTCCCAGAAACCTCCTACCACCCCCAACACTGAAGCATTTCTCCCCATTATCTCTCGTGACTCGATTCACAGTAGCTCCACCCTTGTCAGGTAAAACTGTGCTCAGAAGTCGATTACCAGGCTTTCCTTCTAAGGTGCCTGCCTCTGGGTGCTCTAATCTAACCTTTGGGTGAATGTTTTCACATACTCCCTGGCTTCCCCCATCTTTCAGCATTTTCAGGGGACCTCTGCTTGCTTCACACCTGCTGTCCCCCTGCCCGTCTCCATCAAGGATGCATCATCCTTAGAACCTCCCGGACAGCAGGCACAGCGTCTGTTCTGGATAGTTGAGGCCAGGAGGGCCTGCAGGAAATACAGTCACCCCAGAACAAAGGCCTGGACACCAGGAACGAGCATCTTAACGCCATCACCCGGGCTGGCAGTTTGTTGTCCCTCTGGGGAGAGACCTTGGCCTATACTGGGGTGCCCAGAATAACAGGGAGCCATCAGGGCTAATACAAATGTGGGGGAGGGAACCAAAGTGTGCCCCCACCCCTTTTCACCTAAGAGGCTTCTGAACCCAGAGCTGTTACTGCTACTGCTACTACCACAACCAGGCCCAGCCCAGCTAGACCAATATTTGTTCAAAGAAATCTAAACATAGCACAGCGCCTGCTTCGAGAGGTGCCTGGGCAGCCCGGTGAGGAAAGCAGCAGGAAGCTGGCCAGCCCCACTCTCAGCAGATGCCATGGGGCCTGAGGACCCACTCGGAGGGCCGAGCCTGGCAGCACCTTATTCTCTGGGAGCCATGGGTTCGCTCCCGAGATGGGATCGAAGGCTGGTGGTTGGAACCCAACCGGAGGTGCTGCTGAAAAAAGACCTGGCAATCAGCTTCTGAAAACCCAGCCACTGCCAACCCTATGGAGCACAACTCTACTCTGCACACCTGGGGTTGCTGTAGTGGGCGTGGCCTCGGCAGGACCTTATGAGAACAATAGCAGTGGTGTAGGGCAGCCAGGGTCGGGGAAGGAGAATCCCAGAAATGAAGAGCAAGCTGGAATCTCCCTTGACTCTGCTGCAGAGGGCTTTGCCCGGGGTCAGCAGGTCAGCAGGAGAGCCCCTCTAGCCCCAGAGCCACCTCTGTGGGGAAAGGACGCCGCACGCTTCAAGAGTGGGGACGAGATGCGAGCTGACTGAGCACCTCCCTCCGCTATGGGTGAGGAAACCAAGGTTAAGCACCAAGGGAAAGAGGTAGCCCCCCAAGGCGTTTTGGGAGCCTGGCTGCACCCCGCACAGCAGAGGGTCCTGGGGATCAAGCGGCAGACCAGGACCAAGGGCTGCCTCAAAGAGCCCCAGGGGTGGCAGGGACATCTCAGGCAGGGGAAGCAGATGCCACCCCAGCCATAGGGTGCACAGAACACAAGCCATCAGAAAATATGGCCAACAGCAAACACACTCAACTGCGAACTGAATGGTTGAAGGTTCGAGTCCACCCAAGGTACCTCAGAATAAAGGTCTGATGATCTGGAAAATCCGCCACTGAAAACCCTACAGAAGGTAGCATCCTCTGACACACATGGGCACCATGAGTCAGAGGCATCTTAGTGACAGCTGGTGGGGGGTTATGGGTAGTCTTGGGAGGCTGGTAAAGAGCAGGCTGGCATGTCCTTCCTGCCCACCAGCCCAGAGACGGCACAGGGAGTCCGGTTCCTCTGGGGACAGAACTGAAGACACGGCCCAGCACACTGTAGGCCTGTCAGGGCTCTGAAGCCACGCATGCCCTACTGGTGAGGGGGGGCAGGGAATGAGAGCCCCCAGGGCCAAATGCAGACTCCCAGGCCTGCAGCCCAGCTGGTGGGCTGGTGGGAGCTGCTGGACTGGATGTTCTCAGAGGCCAGACTGGAACCAGCCTGTGCTCACGACCAGCCCAGAATACAGGCTAGGGACCCCTCTGACCAGCCAAAGCCCCTTCTTATTCCAAAACAAAACCACTAACGCCTGAGCACTCCATCTGCAAATCTGGGTGTTGTGTGCCCTGAAGTCAGTTCTGACTCACAACAGCCCTGTGTAGGGTTTCCAAGGAGCAGCTGGTAGATGTGAACTACTGACCTTACAGTTAGCAGTCCAGTGCTTACCCTAGAGCACCACCAGCGGTCCTCCAAATTCACAGGGCCCGTTTATATCCACGGAGACACTGAACGGCGCCAATGATGACACACTCAACTAGAGCTGAAAGGTTGGCCGTCTGGCCCCACTCAGAGGCTCCTCAGAAGGCAGACCTGGTGAACTACTTCTAAAAGGGTCCCAGCCTTGAAAACCACATAAAGCAGCTCGACCCCCCCCCCCCACACACACACACACACAGGGGCGCCAAGGGTATCAGGAGTCAGAATCAACTAGATGGCACCTCCTAACAGATCTATTTCTATTACACACAACAATAAAAACCCTTGCCTGGGGCGGCTGTCCTCAGCGCAGGAAGCAAAAGCACAACCCAGGAGACGGGAAATGAAAGGGAGCATGGTGAGAAGCCTGGGGAGCCTTCTAGAGGGACTGCGCCTCCCAGCCGGGCGGGAGCTGGGTGTTCTCCGGGCCCACACTTAGCTCAGCATGCTGGGAGAAGGCCCAGGTGAGCAGAGAGTGGTCCTAAAGCCCCGCTGGGTCATTTTTTAAATCCAGCTCCTCCTGCCAGGGTTTTCAACTCAAGAGTTGACACAGCTGGGAAGAGGGCAGATTCCAAGCCACTTAACTCAAGGCCACCAGCCCAGCCTGCCAACAGGTAGAACGCCTTCGGAGCCTAGTGCCCAGCCCAGCCCAGCCCAGCACTCCAGCCCTCAGGGACCTCAGTCAGGGCATCTGCCCTCTTGGGCTTCTGTTACGGATTCGGTCAGGCTCATCACAAGGAACACTGAGGGGAAGCCGCGGTCCTAGGAACTGACACGTCTGTGAGCAGTCAACCAGAGTGATCCGGCCGGAGGGGAGCAGAGCCAGACAGAGGCTGCTTAGTGGGTGCAAGGGTGGGGGGTATTGTGTGTCTACTCTGTATGTGACAGGTGGGGACCTGTCCTGTGTGAGTGTATGTGTGTGAGAGAGAGAGAGAGAGAGAGAGAGAGGAGTGGGGACCTGCCCTGTGAGTGTGAGTGTCTGTGTGTGAGAGAGAGAGGGGTGGGGACCTGCCCTGTGTGTTCAAGTCTACCCAGAAACATCTCAGGAGAGGCCTAGTTGATCTACTTCCAAAATCTCAGTCCCTGGAAACTCTGGCATGTCGTTCTGAGTTGGGGTCACCTCCAGAGCAACTGATGTATTGGTTTTCCAGTCAGTACCTAGTCAGTGCCCAGTCCAAGTTCTTGCAGGCCCAAGACTCAGGAGGGAGGGAGAGAGGAAGGGACACTGTATTTTCTCCACAGACTACGTCCACAGTGATTCTTTGTTGGTGGTATGTCACTAAATCAGTTCCATCTCTTTGGGACCCTGCATAGGGTTTCCAAGGCTGGAAATCTTTATAGGAACAGAGTAACTGGTAGCTTCGAACCACTGACCTTGCAGTTAACAGTCCAGTTTGTAATCCTCTACACTCCCAGGGATCCTGGAGGCCACCTTTTCCCATCACCCCCTTCTTGCCTCTCTCACTAACAGCAGAGTCAGAGAGAACTGGACAGTGTTCCCTTCCCGAGATCCGTTCTCCAACTCCAGGAATTTCCGAGGCTCTTTCATTGAATGCCAGGTCTGGGCACGCGAGACTGCCTGCTGCCCTGTGCTAGACACGTAGAGTTCTGCTGCGTCCTCACGCTGACCTTGGGAGCTGGCTCTGGGGGCAGCCTCATCTTGGAGACTAAAAAGGGTACAGAGAGCTGGAATGGGCTGCCCGGTGGCACTCCAAAGCCTGCGTCCTAACCACCAGGCCCAGGAACCTAGGAAGGCGCAAAGGGCTAAGCGCTTGACTCTCAGCGAGGAAGCTAGTGGTTCAAAGCTATCCAGAGACACCGAAGAAGAATGGCCTGGCATCTACTTATGAAACTCAACCTTTGAAAACCTATGGAGCACAGTAACACTCTGACACAAACTGGGTTGCCATGAAACAGAATCAATTGACAGCAACATACAATAACCAAGAAATAGGCCTCACCACTAGGCCAGGGGGTGCTATACCCTTCCAAAAGACACTGAGAGGTGGGGACATCTCTGGGTGACACACCTTAGGGGACATTACTTACACCGATACACCAAATAGGTGGAAGCCAGGAATGCTGCCCCATGTCCCACAGTGCCCAGGATGCCCACCCCACAGAAGAATCTGGCCCCCATAGTAGCAGTGCTGAAGTACAGAAATCTACATTAGTTATTTAGAAAACATTGAGTTTGGTTCCCTGCTCACCCATCCACCAAAATAAACTTCCGCTGGGTCAGACAATGTCAACCAGGAGGACCCTCCCGCTCCTGGGATTCCCTCCTTTCCCCTCCCCAACTTGATTCGTGGACCTCAATGCAGGTAGCGTCCTAGAACGTCAGGGGGTCAGATGATGATGGGACGTGGAGTCTCTTGGGGGGTCAGTGGAATCCCTTAACCCAGGAGTCCTGACCCAGGGTGATTCTGGGCCATGTCTGGGACATTTCTGGCTCTCATAACTGGCACAGTGGGGGTGGGAGGATGGGAAGCTACTGGCATCAAGTGAGTAGAGACCAGGGCTGCTATAGTGCCCATAATAACAGCACATCCCCTCACCCACATTACCCAGAACTGCACCTTGGGGGATCACGGGGTAGGGAGAAAACCAGCAGACGCAGACGACAGCCCCCCACCCCCACCCCCACCCCCATCAGAGGCCAGGATCCTGTATGGCGTCCCCACCCAGGTGAGGACCTCAGGGCCCTGCCACCTACCTTCTCCAACCTCCTGTGTCCTCGTTGTCCGGGCGCAACTTCTTAACCTTCCGCATGAACCACCTGGCAGCTTTTGGCACGGTGAGAGCCTGAGGGGGAGAGAGAGGAGAGGCTGTGTGTGTGGCCAAAATTCCAGGGACCCAAGCTCCTAGCCCCCTCCCATCTTTCTCTTTCTGGGTGGCCACCAGGGACAGCCCTGTGCTAAGGGTGTTCACAGAGGTGGCTGCTCCAGGCCCAGACCTGAAACGGGAGAGGGTGCTCAGCATTTGCCCGAAACCAACATTCTTTTCTCTGAGCAAGTGACTCCCAGGACACCACCTACAGGACACTCAACAGAGACCTCCAAATCCCTTGCTGGGGGTCCTACTGCTTCCTTCCTCTCCCTTAACCTCACCCTCTCCTTCCCCCCAGAGCCTTTGCACTTGCTGCCCATCCCTCAGCCCGGTCTCAGTCTGATCTCTTTGGAGGTTTTTCTGGATACGCAGTTAAGGCCATCCCAAGACCTGGTCTTTCTGTGCGACACTTGATCTAGGAAGTGATCCTCACCCAGCGGGGCACTTTGCCACACTGGGAAACATTTATGGGGGTCACGACTGGGACATGGATGCTATAGGAATTGATTGTGCAGAGACCAGGACGCCCCACCAAAGAAGCACATGCTATGAATGCCCACAGTGCCAAGCGGGGAGGGACTATGTTACATTTGGGAAACAACTGAATTAGGGTCCTGCTCACCCATGCACCAGAATAAACTTCCACTGGGTCAGACAGTGTCAACCAGGGGGGCCTCCCACTCCTGGGATTTCCCTTCTCCCCTCCCCACTCAGTGTGTGGGCTTCAATGTGGACAGGGTCCTAGGAAGTCACGGGGTCAGAGGATGATGGGACAGAGAGTCTCTTTGGGTTCAATGGAAGCCCCTAACCCAGGGGACAATGGGCCATATCTGGGGACATTTCTGGTTGTCATGGTTTGGAGGGAGGTGTTACTGGCATCCAGTGGGTGGAGGCTAGGGATGCTGTTCAACACCCTACAGTGCCTAGGCCAGCCCACCCCAGAGAAGGATCCCCCCAACACACACACACATACACACACACACACACCCATGTCAGCAGTGGGTCAGCAGTGCCTGCTTTCATTGTATCCGATGAGGGTGCAGAACCTGAGTTCTCTACAAGACTGTCTAAACTCAGGGGCTATGCCTCTGTCATAGAGAAAGTTACCCTGGGCTGCAATCACCACCACAAAGCCGTGGCTTCACTCTCAGTCCAGTGGTGATGAATATGGGCCCCGGTGTCACAGAGAGTCGGTGACAGTTCTGGCTCTGTCACTCAGGGGCTATGTAACTGTGGGGAAACCACTTGGCCTCTGTGGACTTCAGAGTTCCCAGCTCTGAAATAGGATGTTCATAGCTGTGCCCGGGGCTATGGTACAGATTGTGCACATAAAGCTTTTATAAGCCGGTGCTGGGCCCATCATAAACTCAATGACAGCTCTTGTGGTCAATAAGACAGGCTGTTTAAAACCTGGAAAAGGAAGGCCCTGGGCTTCAGCTCCTTTCAGAGCCTGAAGGCACACCGTCAGCTGGGCTGGGTAAGGGGGACACAGTCACACCTTCTCCAGGCTCCCCGACTCTGCCCCAGGCCCTCAGCGGGTGTGTCCCACAAACAGGTGGAGGGGTACAGTGGCTGGGAAGCCCAGCCTCCAGCAAGCACACCTGGGCTGGGTCTGAGCCAAGTGTCCTCAGAGTAGTGTCCCTACCCACTAATGAGTTAATTTAGACTCAAAGCAACACTATAGGACAGAGTGAGACTACTCCCTAGGCCTTCCAAACCAGTTAGTCTTCACGGAAACAGTGTCTCATCCTTCTCCCAAAGAACAGCTGGTGGGCTCAAAAACCTGACCATTTGGTTAGCCACCCAAGGCTTACCCTGCTGTACCACAAGGGCCCCCTGCAGTCCCCCGAGGCCCATAGAGAGCCATGTCCAGTGCGGTGGCGCTGTGTGTGGCCTAACGCGCTAGACTGCAAAGTCAGTGTGAACCACAAGGTCAACAGTTCAAGTATACCAACTGCTCCTCAGAAACCCTATACAGGGTTGCTATGGGTTGGAACCGACTCGCCAGCACTTAACAATAACACACTATGTTCCAGATAGGCCCTGGGTGGTGCACAGAGTAAATGCACTCGGCTGCTAACCAAAAGGCTGGCAGTTCAAGTCCACCCAGAGGTATCTCAGAAGAAAGGTCTGGCGATCAATTTCCACACACACAAAAAATTAGCCACGGAAAACTCTGTGGCATACAATTCTAGTGATACACAGGCAGTCTCCATGAATCCGTGTTGACTCATGTCCCACAGCAGGCAAATGAACCCCACCAGCCCTGCCCCGCCCTTCCTGGATGACACCACCCCAACTGACCTTCTAAAGGGTCCAGGGGGCCTCCATTCCAGCAGCAGACGTGGGACACCGACCTTCATGGAACAAATGTGTCTCATTAGCACCAGGGCTGGAGGGGCCAGCTAGCCACTTGCCCTCTCCCACTTGGGGATGTGTGTGTGTGTGTGTGTGTGTGTGGAAGGGGGCTATTAAGTATCTACATCTCTCTCCCTGGAGGGATCGGAGCCTTGCAGCCTAGTGGGTCCTTCTTTCCAGGGGGCCCAATTCCCCCAGGCACCTGCCAGGGCCTGCAGAAATTGGAGGCTCCAGTTCACACCCGCTGGCCCTTCGTCCTAGCTCTTCTTGCCACTGAGTGAGTGGCTTCCTCACTGCCCAGAGGACAGGGGAACGGCGGTGGACACAGGCCACTCGCGATGGCTCTCAGCCGTGACACCTTAGACAGAGAGTCAGGGCTGGCCCAAGGCCGTTGGGGGGCGGCTGGCCAGCCTGCAAGGGTAGGCTGGGCGAGGGATCCGACTCTGGACAAACGTGGAGCGGAGCATTAAAATGGGCTGGGGCAGGGGTAGGACCCAGTCAGGGCGGGGACCTCAGCTCTCCCCCAGGGTGGGTGTGCTTGCATGGGGAGGGGGCAGGCTGGGACCTGCCGGGGCTGCAGGGAAAACGGGATTGAGGTCTGACGCGGGCGCAGCGTCCTGGGTGCGGCCACCTCGTTTAGGGTCAGAGCCCGGCGGGTGACAGGCAGGCTCCGGGAACCACGGGAAAGGTGGGGAGGCCAGACCGAGAGGCAAGAAGCTGAGCGATGGCCCAGTGGAGGGGAAACAGGCTGGGAGCTGAAGGGGCCAGGAGGCCGGTCAAGGGCGGGTCCGGACCCGGGCTCGGGCAGGCGGGCGCTGGCGGGGCCGGGGCTGCCGTGGCGGGACGGGGCGGGCGGGCGCTGCTCACCGGACTCGGAGCCGGCGCGGGGCGGCAGCTGGGCTCGGCAGGCACTCACGATCGCGGCTCCATGCCCCGGACTGCGGCCCAGGAAGTGGCGGGCGCGGGGGACGGCGGAGGCGTTAGACGCGGGGGACCCGGCGACTCCGGCCCCTTTGACCCGGAAGTTGAGCGGCCCAGGCGGCGGCCTGGGATTGGGAGCCGCTCGGCCGGTACCAAAGCAGTCAGGGCTCTGGGGGCGGTGCACCTATGGGCCAGTTCTCTCAGAGTCGGGCGCGGCATCTTTCGATACGCCAGGAACGCTGGGGAAAAGCACCCCCATGCCACTTGGTATGGCTGAACCAGACTGATGAGCTATCTATTAGATATCTACTAGAGACTCCAAGCGAAGGCTCTCTTCCGCCCAAGCGTTGGTGGTATAGTGGTTAGCATAGCTGCCTTCCAAGCAGTTGACCCGGGTTCGATTCCCGGCCAACGCAGTGGCAAAAGCAATCCTTTTTCTCATCGTTCATCTAAAATTGTCTACTGCAACAAAATTCTTGTTCAATTATTTTAATACTAAGTTTTAAATTTTATCATAACTTCCAACAGGCAGAGGAAGAAAATAGACCTGTGTGTTTCCGCCCGGGATCGAACCGGGGACCTTTCGCGTGTGAGGCGAACGTGATAACCGCTACACTACGGAAACCAGTAGAGATCTTAGTTTTTCATGCTACAATATAAAGAAAATCTTGTAAATATTATTTCTTGATGTAAATAGTGTCTGATTGCAATTTGTACAGATCGAATCCCAGTTTTACCTGCATATGCGTACCTCTGCTAATGCAGTGGAAACTGAATGAACATGAAGAAAATAATGTAATAAACGGTCCCAACATACACATACACTTTTGTTATATATGGTCAATAAGCATTCTGTGAAAACAATTCAAGAACGACATTGTCTGCTAACCCATCCAAAAAGCCAAATACACGGCTCAGTGGTTCATCGCCTAAGTCTCTCTCTCTATATTTATTTACCATTTTGCTTTAGCCGGAACCAATTTCTCAAAGACTCTTCTAAAATGGAATGTTTATTGTGTCTGTTACTACACGCCAGGTGTAAGGAATTTGAAAGTGGACGAAGAAGCCAAAAGAAAAAAAAACAAAACACCAACATTTCAACAACAGCTAAAACCCCAGACTTTTCATTTCATCACCCGGAGCTAATTTGTTAGTATTCTAATTATTAAAAAATAGTAAAACAAAACAAAAAAACAGTTGCCAACCAAGTAGACTCATGGTGCCCCCAATGTGTCAGAGTAGAACTGGGCTCCACAGAGTTTTCAAAATCAGAGTGCCAGGGCTTTCTTCCTAGGCCTATGGCAGGGCAATCGTGGAAGGTTTCCCTGGAGAGATGATTGCTGAGTTGAAATCTGAAGGATGCTTAGAAGTGACGTGAGGCAGAAGGGGTGGAGCAAAACAAGGCTTCCTGGGGCTGATGTTACAAAGCTGGAGGCCTTCCTGTGACTCTCTACCCCCATCCTACCTCTTCCCTGCCCTGTCCTCCTCTCTCCCCCTCACTCACTCTGTTCTAGCTGCGTGGCCTTCTTGCTGTTCCTCCAACTCAAAGGCCCTTCCTACCCCAGGGCCTTTGTACGGGCTATTCCCTCTACCTGAAACGCTCTACTACCAGACTTTCCCAGCATCCACTCCTTTCCTTTCCTTTTCCTCCATCTGGTTCAACC